AAAATGCAGATTGCATGTCCGAGTGTTTTGCACCGATTTGATTGAGAAGTGACTTAACTTTGAGCATATGACTTGAATGTTCAACTATTGGTTGATTACTTTGCAATTTGAATTTTGGAGGCAGCTGAGTTGAGTTGTCTACTACTCTTTCATACAAATCAGCCCAAAGGAAAAACGTAAAAGTGCATGGAGCGTTCGTGGTATGAGCGTGCCGGGGTAGACCAGCCTGATTTGGCACCTGCTTTAGCTTTTGAGGCCGACGTTCCTTCGTGCCAGGAAGATCCGCCCCTTATGTTGCCCGACAATCTTGCAGATCTGTGGAGCTATCTTCTGAACAGGCTCGTCTGCCATGTGCCATGTTTTGCAGGTTTCAGGCTGCTGGCCTGAGATGCAGATTCCGGCCGACTGGTCAACTTCGAGTGGCAATGACAGCCCACAGGAACTAGGATGCGCGGGCCACTAAATAGAGATTACGTCGGGTTTACGAGCTCGTGTTGATGTTGTAATATGCTCGCGTGTGTTGGTGAGGAGCAAGTGCTGTGACCGTACAAGTCCTGCGTTTTTGTGATGCTTCAAGTGTAGGCACTTGCTCTGCGTACATTAGGCGCGCGAAGCTGTGATCAATGCAGATGAACTTCTGTGTAGACCTTTGCCGGTTGCAGGTGGCAAACCATGTCTGTCGGGGGCAACTCGTGCGCAACTCCTGTCGGGTATACCTATGACGTACCTACTGCAGGCGCTGCTAAGCCAATCAGCGCAAGGGTCCGACATTCACCAAACACCTTTTCCAGTGCTGCGCTTCACCTAACGCAGCTCGCGCCTTGGTGACCAGTTCAAACCGGTCAAGCCTCACATGCCGTTTTTGCTGCCAGTGCTGGTGACGAATTTGTTTTGTACTGCAGGATCAGTTACGAAAGTGCAGCAGATGCAAGCCCCTGACGGTGTTTGCCTACCATCCTTGGCGATGGATATGTTATGAACTTTTGCAGCGATTGCTCTGGTGGCAACAGCGTGGCCTGGCGGCATCAGCTGAATAATGTGCAGCAGATCCAGGCCTCATGTGGTGCTTGTGCAACAATCCTTGGTGAAGACTTAGAACTTGTGCGTAAATGCCAGGCAGGAGCTCGCAGGTCAGCTTCAAGCGCAGTACACTTTGGCGCCAGCCGTGGGTTGCAGACTAGGTCCCAGCAGTGTGCGCAGGGCTAGCGTGCAAGGGCGAACCATGAGGTCCTAGGGTTTCTAGGATCAATTAGGAATGTGGTGCAGTTGCAAGCCTTGATGATGCTTTTGCTACCATCCTGGAGATGGATCTGTAGTGACCTGAGGCAGGGCTGGCTCTGATGGCAATAGCGTGGCAGCTGAAGGATGTGCAGCGTATTCAGGCCTCGTGTTGATGCAATAGGCGCAGTCCTGCACCTTGACCTCTACTAGACGCTAGCCCGCAACTGTCGTGTCGGCCAGTGCTTGCAGGGCTCCTTAGGCTCTGCGTATCGTTTGGGTTGCGTGCCTCGGGCTGCATTCTTGGTTTGCTAAAGCTTGGTTGTAGCTGGAGCACTCTGGCAGAGTAGTCACGTGCGTAACATGACTGAGAAACCAGCAGGCTTGGCTAGGTGTTGAGGTCGAGCAACTATACTGCTTGAACATTTTGCAACATGTCGAACTCCTGATGAGCCTGCTCAGAGGAGGCCGGAATTGACGATGCCATTTGCGTTGGCCGTGTTGTCTGCTCACTGAGAGCCCTGCAGATCCAGCCTTCGAGCAAGCGAACCGTCGAGCAAGGTCAGGCTTTGCGGTCCTTGTGCCATGCACGCCGGTGGTCCACCGCTACAACTGAGTCAGCGCAAAACTGGCATATGCCATCGTGGCCAGGAAGCTGAAGGCCCCAGTCCCCAGTGTCATTCCAAACCACATTTTATCGGTTGTGGCTGCAAAGACTCATGCGTGTTGCAGGCCCCTTGACCTACGCGTTTCGATTTCATCGTTTTTTGTCGAAGGATGCTTCTTGTAGCCACAAGGGTTTGGATGGAAAGCGTCAATGCTCGCCTTTCATGCAGCAGCCTGGCCCAGTGTGTTAGCAATGCTGCAGAAGAGGCTTGCGAAGGTGTTAGTAGCAGTGCTGTGCAAGGTCAGCTGGGGATGGCCCGGTGGCTACCTTGGGCAATGCTGAACATGGTCGTGACAGCCATGATGTGCAAGATCGGCCAAAGAATGTTTAGCAGACTCGATCCTCTCAGGGCCGTGCAAGATACGCTGGTGTGCAGCAAATTCAAACCTTGCGTGCCGCTTTTGTTGCCATCCGTGGTGATGGATTTTGGGCGCTGTGCATGATCCGTAGAGTCCGTAGAGTACTTGCAGCAGGTGCCAGCCTCTGATGATAATATGCAGCAGATTCAAGCCTCACATCCCGCTTTTGCTGCCATCATCGGTGATGGATTTGTGGTGCCGCGCAGGATTGGTTGAGAATGTGCTGCAGATGCAAGCTTCTAACGATGCTTTTGCTACCAACCTTGGCGATGTATCTGCGGTGACTTAGGGCATTGTCGGATTTGATGGCAATAGCACGGCCGCGCGGCGTCAGCTGAGGAAAGTGCAGCAGATTCAGGCGTCACATAGTGCTTATGCGGCCATCCTTGGCGATGGAGCCGTGGCGTCCTTTGTCCAGATCTTCAACCAGAGCCTCGAATGTGTTGCGTGGCTGAGCAGCATGCAGACATTAGGCTTCGTCGAGCACTTCAAACAGAGTCTGGAGGGTGTTGCATGCTTGAGCCGCCTGCCTACCAGAGCAGCAGCGTTGTATTTGACAAGATCTGGAAGGTGTCACGTGGCCTAACAGCCTGCAGACATTGAGCTTCGGCACCTGCGTCAACCAGTGCTTGGATAGTGTTGCGTGGCCGAAGGTGCGGCAGATTCAAGCCTCACGTGGTGCTTTTGCGGCCATCCTTGGCGATGGAACCGTGTTGACCTTTGGCCAGAACTTCAACCAGAGTCTGGAATGTGTTGCGTGACCGAGCCGCCTGTGGGTGTTAGGCTTTGTCGAGAACTTCAAACAGAGCCTGGAAAGTGACGCGTGGCCGAGCGGCCTGCAGACATCGAGCTTTGGCCGATTCTTCGACCAGAGCCTGGAATGTGTCGCGTGCCCCAGCAGCCTGCAGACATTGAGCTTGGGCGCCCGCTTCAGCCACACCTTGGACCATGTTGCATTGCCGAGCAGCCTGCAGACACTTAGCTGTGGCGCCTGCTTCAAACCAATCAGCCTGCAGACATTCAGCCTTAGCGCGTGCCTCAACCAGAGGCTTGAATGTGTTGCATGACCGAACAGCTTGCGTAGAACAAGCTTTGGCGAGAATTTGCTGCTCGGGTAGAACTGGGCGGTCCATCAGCCGGATGCAAGACATTGTATCGCTGAGAGAGTCAAAGTCTGTGAAGAGTTTGATGGTCATTAGTGCTGATTCGCGGCGGAGCTTCCAGCCGGGGCATGCCATTAGGTATGCCGCTGGAGTTCCCGTGCCAGTGAAGTGACCCCAGTAGATATGGGCGGTCCATCAGCCGGATGCAAGACATTGTATCGCTGAGAGAGTCAAAGTCTGTGAAAAGTTTGATGGTCATTTAGTGCTGATTCGCGGCGGAGCTTCCAGCCGGGGCATGCCATTAGGTATGCCGCTGGAGTTCCCGTGCCAGTGAAGTGACCCCAGTAGATCATGGGTGGTCCATCAGCCAGATGCAAGACCTTGTATCGCTGAGAGAGTCAAAGTCTGTGAAGAGTTTGATGGTCATTAGTGCTGATTCGCGGCGGAGCTTCCAGCCGGGGCATGCCATTAGCTATGCCGCTGGAGTTCCCGTGCCAGGGAAGTGACCCCAGTAGATCATGGGTGGTCCATCAGCCAGATGCAAGACCTTGTATCGCTGAGAGAGTCAAAGTCTGTGAAGAGTTTGGTGGTCATGGAACAGTGACTGATTCGCGGCGGAGCTTCCAGCCGAGGCATGCCAGTAGGTATACCGCTGGAGTTCCCGTGCCAGTGATGGGAGTTACTGTAATTATGGGTGGAGCATTTACAACCGCTGTCTTTGTGGGAACTCCACTTATCCTGCGCTGCGTGAGGATTGTTGCTATGATGCTAAATGTAAACCTGTTGAAGAGAGGGGTGACAATCCTTGAAAGTGGCGCTGGGGTGGTCTGTGAGACGCACGACATTGCATTGCTGATAGGCTCGAAGCCCATATCAAAGTGAGCTCAAGGTGCATAGAGCGAAGTCCGGCGGAGATTTCAGCCGTGGCATGCCTACCGTTATGCTGCTGGACCTCCCGTGCTGGAAGAAATTGTGAGCTACATGAGTTATGGAGCGACAGGTTTAGCCTGGGGAAATACGTGCGCTGCTGTGGTGTGTTGATCCTTTGCAGGTCGATGCATCTCCCGTGTCTGTCCCATCCTAGGGATAACCGAGGTGCGCCCCGTGGCCAACAACAAATCACGGAGTCTTTGAGCAATATGACAGTTTGTCATGAGGTGTCGAAAAAGTCGATTCAGACCCCCGCTTGATGCGACAGTCGCAACAGCACACATTCCTGTGAATGGCTGCAGTCTCGGTTTGTCAAAGGCATTCTTGTTGCAGAATACCTGTGCAAACCAATTTGTCGGAGGCTTTCTCATACAGGCCGCCTAGGGCCAAGAAAAAATGGGCCCAGGTTCAGTAAACTGTGCCCAGGCTTGGTATTCTGGCTAGAGCAGCCCAGGAACCTGGGCCCGTTTTTCAACGCGCAGGACTTGAGCCCATTTTCCGACACAAAAATCTGCAACCTTTGCTAGGTCTTCGTTGCCATAATAGGCCACACACCGGATCGGAGCTCGCCGCATGTGACAGTCATGTATAACATTCCTGTGGACGGCTTGCGGCCTCAGAGAGCATCCGGACCACACGTGACTTCAGCCGTCTGCCAAATAAAGGAAAGAGAGGGACCGTGATCTAATTTGGCGAAAGGGGCCAATTATACTTGAAGGAATGTCTTGGTCGTCGAGCGGGTCGCATGTGTAGCCGCTGAGTGGACGCGAACTCCCGCGGAAGCCGGCCGAATGCAGTTTTTGCGGCATCCACAAATCTGCGCATCTGTGTGTTTTTCCTCGTCATCCGTCATGCCTTGGCGAGGTTAAGCCTACGCCGCGCCTGCAAGTGTGGCTGAATGCGCGCTTGGCCCCAAAGCGATTGGCGCCTCTGCTCTTTGAGAACCTCTGGCTCCACAACGGGAGCACGTGTCGCAACTGGTCTTCAATAGGTGGCAGAACGAGGAGAAGCTTGGGCCTCTGGTCTTGAGAACAGCTGGTTCCGAGACGAGAGCCTTTTGTAAGTGTGTTCCTGAGCACCATGCAGCCCACCCAGCGGGGGAGCTTCGCACTTGTGAGCGTTGAAATCAATTTGGCTTTGCGTTCCTTGAGCACAACTCCTCTAATCACAGGGAGGTTTTAGCTGTCGTCCTGAGGGCCTGGCGCTTGGCCAAGCCTTCTGAGGTTTCGCTTGACGCTACAATTATCTGCCATAAGGGCCGCGTTGGCCTCCCGCCTGAACCTGGCGCTTACGCAAAGCCAGGCAGATTTTTTCCCGTAATCATGCCCCGTACAACAAGGGTGAAAGCGGGGGACATGTGCCAGGAAAGTTGCAACGAAACTGCATCTCGAGGCCGAGGCACGGAGTTGACCAATTCAAAACTTCACGCGTTAAGGTTTAAACCCCAAACCCGCCTGGGTACCCTTTGATCCTAGGACCTAGGACCATAGACCTGTGCAAGGAAAGATGCGTCGGGCCAGACGTGCCGGGGCTGACCAACGCGTGCAGAGTAAAGTGTTTGAGGTTTAGGCCCAAACCCGCCTGGTTACTTTGAGACCCCTAGGACCTAGGACCCTGGGTGCCTACTGTTCCCGATTGAGCCAGGTTGGTCAGCAGACTAGACCAAGCAACTTGCTAAGGTGCACCAAGTAGGGGTTTGATGTCGTTGTCTTTGAGGCTTAGGTCGACCTGCCCGAACCCTCAAGGCAAGAGGGCTCGACATTTTGCAGCATCTCGTGAAGTGCTTGCGGAGCCGTAGCCTCCGCCAGATCGAATCGCAAGTGAACCTCACGCAGGGGCCCCAGTAGTTGTGTGGTAATATTACCTTCAATGCCCAGCGCGAGCCTCCTGTACATGCAGGAGATACCATGCGCGCCTTCTGTTTTGACAGACGCAGTAGAATTCCTCCCGCTTGGCCAAGGGGAACTTAGATCAAGCAGTTGACTTTGAAACTTTGGATGCAATGTTGCGTGTATGATTTGGTCAAAGCACATACAGTTCCGGGATCATGAAGCTGAGTCCGGGACATCCGGGCTCGCAGCCTAGCAGCGTGTGGCTTAGTTAGCTGCGCGTCAAGTCAAAGACCATCCGGGCATCGTGCGCACCATGGCAAGATGATTTGGCAGGAAAGCAGCGAGCAACCATCGCAGCCTGGACCAGTTGCGTATGTCAGCTCAGCGTGAGTCGCTGGGGACTCATGGCCCTGGGACCAAGAGGCATCCACCCTTCTGCTGCGCAAGGCCCTCGCAACAGCAAGAACTTGATGTGTCCAAGTTATCAGGTGGACATCTTCCATTGGGGCTTGGCGAGGATGGGACTAAGGGTGCTAGTTTCAGTAACCCGTTCAGCTTACTACCAGGATGATAGAGACTGGAGCCATCACCACGCGTGAAGCTCAAGTATGGCTTGGATGGTCCAACATTGCATCTGGATCCCATGCAGGTTGCCTGTTAAGGTTGGTCACGCTGACCCGTGTCATAGACCAGAAACCCATCCTGTCTAAGTTATTGCGAAAGCTATGCAACCACGCAGTTGCCGTGTCATGCCGTGTCGTAATCCTCTTAGCTCTTCGTTGCGCTTGATCTATTGTTTCCACGAGTTGAATCACGTCGTTCGTGCATGGACAGATGGAACTTGGGAGAAGAGTGTGTCGGGGATCGCAGCTGTGATCCTGGGCAAGAACACTGGCCGTGGAAGGGTCTTCCAAAGTGAGGTGCCGCCGGAGTTGGTGCAAAAGTGGCTTGAAGGGGTTCGCAGCCAGATAATATGAAGTAGATCCGTTGAGATCAGGGAACTGAGCAGGTCATCAGCCTCATGCTATCGCTTGCATTGATCCTAGCCGAGGGTTGAAAGGGCTCTTTGGCTTTGATGAGGATGGCTGATCTGGACAACTCGTGCCCTAACCTGGCTTGGAGCAAAAGGGTCACTCACACAATCATTTTTGATCATCTTCCCTCGCGGCAGGAGGGTGAGAGGCATTGTCCATTGTGAATGCTTCGGCGATGGCACCGTTCCCAGCTGATCAGTTGATGGTCAATCAATCGTTCGCGACGTTCCTTGTTCATCAAACAATGATCCAACGGCTTCTTAGCTACGAGGTTTAGGGCCCATCTTTTAACGGGGGTGATTCGGGATGAGCCATAAACCTTGGGCGGTACATCGTACCCGGCCCCATGGCACCGGCTGTGGCCCCACGTGCTGGACATGCACTGGCAACAGCCCGTGGTGCATACAGAGCTCACACCGAATTTGCACTACCCGTGATCTGAAAAAGAGCGTCCTTTGCACGAGTTGATGATTGAATAAACTATTGTGAGATGAGATGAATACACATTTAGGATGAGAAGATTTGGAAATATCATGATAACAAAGAATTGAGCTTCATGGCAATCTTCAGCATCATGTGCAATCTCATATGGCTCGTGCTTGGGAAGTCCGATTACTGGACCTGACGTTATCAAGCTGACGCCTGGTGCCGTTTCAGGTTCACGCGTAGCAAATTTGGGTGAAAGTCTGAATCCCTGTCTGGACGTGTTGCGCTGGCCTCAGCGTTTGCTTGTCGTCATGAGCCGCAGACTCCGGTACCGTGACGTGATGCTAGATTGCTGTATGAATGGCAGGCCAAGGCTCAATGTTAGTTTGGATGTATATTGCCGATTTGGAGGCGCGAGTGCCAGTTCATTCTGTTCACCCGTACCGGCAGGGTCTAGCATGCTCGCCGCAGAATGGAGGCCTTGTAACAAAGCAACCAGCAATCAGGTGCAGTGCGTTTGGAATCATGTAGACTGCTAATTTTCATGAATTGGTTTCTGGAGTTTTGCTGGCAAGCATTTTCACATGAATGCAAGGAGATGGCATGCAACTCCTTGCTCCTAGACATGACACCCGCTGCGTGGCAGTGTTTTTTCTCGCCTAATGGATGTGACCTGGATTTTCCTTGAAATAGGATACATCCTTGGTGGACTGGGTTGACACTCGCTAATTATAGATGTGCA